GCAGTACATGGAACCCCGGATGCTCATGATCCTGTGACGAAACCAGGCGCACTGAACCCTGTGCCCAGGAAGCCTCCCCCATCAATGTGATGAAAAAGTACTACACTAACATAGTATATCGTATTCTAGTATATTGCAACACTAGTCTAGTAGTGTACGAACTCCTTGAAAAGCTACGCTTTTTTCTTGGTGCCCTTGGCACCTTGCAGTCGATTGCTTCGGTATCGAAGCTCCGAAGCTGCCTTCGGCTTGACGATCACAACCTGGGAGTTTCCGAAAATTAGGGCCGTAGCTACTGTAAGGGCTCCTTTAAAGGGCTCTACAAGGGTTTAGATTCTCCGAAAATTAGGGGGTGCCTTTTTTATGGGGTTCTTAGAGTCAGGATCCTACTATTTAGCCGGCTAGGTCCCCTATTGGCGGAAACCCTCACCTGGGGGTCAATGGAAAGTAACATGATACGGAACTCCAAACATATTAAGGCCCCTATATTCACACCACCCGCACCCACGAGGGGGATTCCTTAAATCCAAAACTTCTGACCTTGGGGGAGAAATTGAGAAACAACTGTTGGCCTTGGCAGCTTGGATTTCTGGTGAGTGGTGTTGGATTCCGGGGAACCGGATTTGGGTGTCCGGCTTTCTGGCAAGGCCGTACAAGCTTTACGCTCTCGCAACTTGGACAAGCCAGATGAGGTCTCAGGTACAAGCTTTAGGTATCTGGGCGGTGTATGGCTAGTGGGTCAGATATTTCTGAGTCGAGCTGCTTTGCTTCTCGTGCCCTGGGAGATATCACATGAACTCTAAAGGTCTACTCTTGTGGAAAATGGGACTCCCCAACTGCTGCTTGCATTGTTGCTTTTGACAGGGACCACCCTGCTGCCCTGCTTCAAGTTGAAAGCTGTCGCCCTCTTCGAGCTTCCGCGGTTCCATCACTCCCTTTTTGGTACTCGCAGCTCCGCATATGAGACGCTGCTCAAATTAGGAATTAGCGAAGTCTTAGGGTTAAGAGCTTTACGTCTAGGATGCAAACCCTCAGCTGCCCAGCTGCGCTTTTGGATGTCTTTGTCCACTCGCTGGCCCCTTGCAGTTTCCTCAGGTTCCATGCTTCCAAGCTCCAGAGAAGGTCATGCCGCACAGTTTCGAGCTTCTTGAAGCTCCCATATGACCATAGCTGCATAATTAAAGGCAAGTCTTGGATCGGATTACAAACTGCAGTCTCCTTTGAAGTCCTGAGCCTCTGTGAGCAGGTTGTCATGGTTCACTGGGTTGAAAATCGAGTTTTGCACTCCCCTCAGAAGTAGGTGCTGAGTGCTCAATCGTGTCTCTGACAATGTTTCCTTGACTACAAGTACCTGAGGAACTATAACTATACTTACTAAGGGTTGAACATGTCATCTGAAAGCCCCTGCCACACTCACAGGCTTATTACAAATCCAGCGTGAACCCCTGAGAGCGTCCTTGCTTAACGGGGCGGTAGGAGATCCTCGCAACAGCAATGGCACTTCTGAAATCGACCAAGTCTCGTGTTAGCTGAGATCTGGCACACCGTCCCCAGCTGACCACTGTAAGTATCCTGCCGAGGCTTTGGGCTTCTTCTCTCCCCACAGCTTTATTCACTAAACTTCAGGGCTAAAACGAGAAGGCCTTGGGTTGGCATTGTTTTGGCGTCGTTGTCTGGGTATTCCGGCTTCGTAATGGTAAATAGTACTCCCTGCGCTTCCGAAGGACTTCTCACACCCAACGAAAATGGTCATGGCAGGCCTCAGTGCACGTATATGCCAATCATAGTGCAGGGCCGTGTTCCGAAATGGGTAATGACGCCGATCAGCTTCATACACGCACATCCGAGACTCCGAGACACTCAAACAGTTCGGAAATCGCCGCTGGTAAGGACCCCGCCCTGTGATTTTGATGTATTGCACATCTATCCGCAGGGTCTAAACCCCCTTTCACCGCAACACATGATGATGCGCGACTATGGGTGGGCGAGCTGCCTATGACAACACCAATATGAAAGGCAGACTCCTCATGATAAACAACGTGGCCGCAACGCCTCCTATAGAGAACAAACTCACCTTCAATCCAACATCCACATAATGAATCTACGTTAAGCGCCGTATTCTACAATCACGCACACATGATGCGAGAAAGCTCAACTTCTACACTTCCTACGTGGTCTTTCGGAGCCCAGTGATGTGAAACACTGACAGAGGGAGTTCGGCAGCCCTCATGACGTTTAGCCAGCAGGCCTTGATGTTGTCGACAAGGCCATCCTCCGCGCCGTCCGCCAGCTGAAAGCGATTACTGGCACGGCAGCAAAGTCGAGAAAGCTGGGGAATGGATGCCCCATGTCCTACCTGCATCCAATCCCAAGCATGGGTAAGGTTTGGCCGTTGTTGCGCCTGCCATTTATCACTTGAAGAACTAAGTAAAGTCAAGAATACGTGCTCAAAGAGCCAAAGAAGAGCTCAGCTGCGAAAATGGGAATTAGTGCCGAGGACTTCGAGGTGTCCGGATGTCAACAACCACAAGAAACACAAATCTGCGGTTTAAGGGTCAACTCGTTCAGATGTGTATGCTTTGCACAGCCAAGACTTATGGTCCGTTTATGGTGGACGCATCTATAGTGCACATGCATCCAACATCAACGTAAAGCGCGCACGCAAAACGCGCGCGCGCACGCACACACGCACGCACGCACGCACTCACGAACACACACGCGCGCGCACAGGCATACCCACCAGGCGCTACCTGAAGAACAGCACAGCAAGCCCTATGTGCCATCAACTGCACAACCACTTAGTTTTCTAAAGGATCCGACGCACCTCACGGAAGCCTTGAAGGGTTGAACCGTCCAGCACCATACATGTGTATTCATATGTTCATGTATGTGTGTGTGGTGTGTGCGTGCACACATAATATATATATATATATATGTATGTATATGTGCACATGCAAGTAGAAGTATATATACACATACATGCACATCTGGCCTCTCGAACTTGAGCCAGGGGGTCTCGGGCGCACAGCTCACTTTGATATCCTCCGGCGTGGGATTTCGGGCTTTCATGAGAGTTGGAGAGTCATTCACAGGGAGTCTCGAGGGCTGTCAGTCGTCAAAGAAGGAACACCACGGTGTAATTACGCCGCCATACGGCTGACTTATGGATCTCACATCCTCGAGTTCGTGTCAACGCGTGGTGCCGAAGATTGGGTCGTGTTGCATGTTGTCTACCTTCGAAACATACGTTAGCCGTGTAGAGGTTGCACAGCCTCGAGAGATAATACGAGTTGATACTCACGACGCAGAATGTGCTACTCCTTTCTTGCGCTATTTCCATCCTGGACCTAACGAGTTCGACGAATCTAGTTTCGCCGCTCCCGGGTTTCAGGCTTCACAGCCAAGCCGCGGATAACAGCTCTGCTCAATTCTACCAGATGCATCCGCTGCATCCCGTTTAAGAACTTAAGTCTCAAAGTGCTGGCAACGGTTAACTATCCCAAAGATATGTACAGCAAGTGCTTCAGGAGTTCAGATCACTCTTCATTCCCAGGCGCCGGATGCTGCTCCAACTCCGAACGACCCTAAACTCCACACATCGCCCAACGTGCGTGCTGATTGCAGCCTGAACCTGAAAGCCGCACAAATGAAAACACCCGACACTCGCCAAACCCTGGAGTCACACACAGGCCTTGGCTGCCGAAGCGTGCGGCACGGCCATTGGGAAGCTTGTCTTATGCTTCGAAAACCTTCGCAGCCGCAGTTTGATTCAGGGATTGTGGAGATCTGTGCAAGCCCTTGCAGGCATGCATTGAGCAGTACATTTGTTGAATGAGGAAAGTATGGAAAGTCGGGAGTTCAGCGGGGAATTCGGAATGTGAAGAGTTTTTAACGGGCCTTGGATGGGACTCCTGGAGCTCGGGACACTGGGAGACTTGCTTCGAAACCTCAATTGCTGCTGCAATTGCCCTTCTTCTTCTTCTTCTCCACTCTCCGCTTCTTCACGGCTGTATGAGCCATGGAGCACCAGCACCGGGGAACGAAAAGTGAGCTCGCTGACTTCCACGGTCACATCAGCCTTGGATTCTGGGCGTTTCCCGCATTTTGCGCCTTCGCAGGGTCTGCTGTGTGGGGACCGAAGATCAAAGTGCCCATGAACCCCAGTATAATGCAATCTTCCGCTGTCTATTTTTGGAATGAACAGTCTTATGAACTCTGGAAGCACATCAGCCCTGTGAGCCCTTGCTCAGCCCTCACGGCCCGGCTGCTGTGTATGTAATCTTGGCGGTTTGGAACGCCGTCACCTGCGAAGCGGTTCCAAAGATGATCCTGAAAAACGTGTTCCCCGGATGAAGCTTTTGCCAAACGAGTGTGCGGAGGGTCTAGGACCTGGAGGAGCTCTTGTTTGGACGATGTTTTGAGCAAGCCCCCACGGGGAAGGCAGGGGTTCGTTGTTTTAGCAAGGAAGGGTCATTTCCGAGTTCATCTTAGCTTATACCCCTGTACCCCCCGCTACGCTTTTACACCATTTCTGAAGCCACCTGCTATTCCAAACCTTATACCAAAACCCCTAAACCCTAACCACCACCCAAATACTTTACCTTACCCATAATATAACCAATATCCTAACGATGAACTGGGAAATGATAAAGCCTAAAACCTCCTTCCCCCACACCTCACACCCTATACTATACTCCCCCCTACACACCCCATTTCTCAACCCGCCAAACATTTCAACCCTTAATCCCACAAAACACAAAGCACCTCCCAAAACCAATACAATAATCCCGAAAACAAAGCAACCCAACAACAAATACAATTATCCAGAACACGACCCAGAACCCAAAGCACCTAAACAATCCATAACCTTATCCATAAAATAACCAATTTCCCAACATGAGGTGTGGGGTAAGACCCTAATACAAAAACCCAAAAGACCTTAACCCTGAACTGGGGGATGTCGGACTCCCTCATTATGGTCACGAGCGCGCTGCTCCGCTTCACTTCGGAAGGTTCTGTTCAAAGCACACAACCCATTGCTCAATCTTGTCAGTCATCTCTGACTGTGTCACTGTCTGTTTAGTCTTCCAACCCCTATCAAACTGAAACTGCGGAACGACAAAGAAGAATTTGGCTTTCCCCTCATGCTTCTTGCTAAGTGCATCCACAATCTTATACGCCTGCGTCTTGGTCAGGTCTTTGTTCTGGCCACTGTCATGGAAGGTGATGTCATGTCTATCGGCAATCGTCAGCTGAAAGACGCCCTCTGAGGTCCATGAGTCAAAGGCTGGAAAGTTTTTGCTCTGCGGCTGGTAATACTTGCCATCCTTGATGTCTGGTTTGCGATTGCCAGAAATCAGCACTCCTTCAAGACCACCTTGGAGTTCCTGTGTTGCTTCAGCTTTACCGCCAGCTGTCCAGCATCTGGCTCGGAGCTTGAACTTGCCGATGGACTTGTCCTGCATGAACTGGTGGAAGGCTTCCTCAAACAAGGCAAAACCGATGCCCGTAATCATTCCTTCCCGCATCCTTTTCCAAAGTTCTTCGGAGTTGTCCTGTCTGTTTTGCTTCACCAGCTCTTGCCGAACATAGGGAGACGACAACTGCACATCAAACCAGCTGAAGTCTGCCCATGGCATCATCTTCACCAGCAAGTGCGTCGTCTTGCTTATGGCTTTCATGTCAGACGATACTTTAAGGGATTGCAGCGCATCTGCTGACTGCACGGCCTCTACGAGCCTTCTTCGGTCGACGCCTGCTCTTGTCTCGTCCCTCTCCAAACCAAGCCTCGCAGTGCCACCAAAGATGCCAAAGCGTTCCTTGACAACTGACTCATTCAGCTTGTGGAAGGTCTTGACCTTTGCATTCAACATCTCCTCCAAAGCCCATGGTGGCATAAAGAACTGCCCAGAGAAGCGCTCGGCATTCTTAAAATGTTCGGTGTGGAACGCCGGTGTCTCCGGCCTCCGAGCAGATGTAATCCACAAAGACTGGCACACAACTCCATGTTTCCTATGAATGTCGGCATCCATGATATACAAAGCTTGGGCAGGCGCTGAATACAAAGTATCGGCATCGACCTTCTTTGGCTCTTTGTCCTTCTCAAACTGCAGGACGATGTCGTCGCGGTGCAGAAAAACAGGGAAGTCTTTAAGCTTACTGTCTTGGAAGCGATGCCAGATTAAATATACCATAAAATTGGACTTGCCGATACCTGATGAGCCCAGCAAAGGCATCCTATGAGGCTTGTATTTCAACATGATGTCGGCAATCTCTTTGTAGCAGTCCCGCACGTAGAACTTCGTCTCGTTCCAAATTTCAGAGTCCTGTTCTAACTTGAAACTGCCCGTTTCCGTTTTCAGAATTTGCCCTTCCAGCTCTGCATCATCCAAAGCTCGTGCGAAGGCCTTGGCATTCTCGGGAACATCGCTCTGAACCTGAAACCAAGCAAAGCAACCACAGAAACATAAACCCTGCTTCACATACTTCAAAAACAAAACAAAGACACAACAAACTCGGGCTACGACTAAAACGAATCTTAGCCAAGAAACGGGTTGTGGTTGGGCAATGTCCTTCTGAATGCGGTTGAACAGACCCATTGCCACAGCTACTGCGTTGCTCTCGTCGATCTTGGCTTTTGTCAAGACGGACGCTATATTTTCATATGACATCTCCATCAGCACCGGGCTTGTGAAAGAGGCAAGGACACTTGCCACCTTGTTGGTGATGTCTTCATCATACTCCAGATCACACATTTGCTCCCGAATCCAGTTTGGCATCTCATTGCGCTCCACGTCCTTCAACAGCTTTGAATTCGGCGGGAGGGCAGCGAACTGTAAGGTTCGCTCTGCGAAATGCCAAAAGCAGAAGAAATAGCAAAGAAGCACATAGCGCCGAGCACGAGCATTGCGAAAGGCAACCATTGCTACAACAAAAGTCTTGAAACGCAACAGCTCGTATTCCTGCAGCAGCTCTTACGACTCCTGACTTTGAATCATGATCTTACTTGAAGCATAAGTGCAGTGCAATTTGATATTGTTGAGCCTCAACCACGGTGATGGCAAGCACTGGAAGCAACAACACATCAGCATGAACAAGCCTTACACCTTTAATGCCTCAAATAACCCCTCTTATCATCATCTAAATAGTAATAGTTTTGCCCTAATTTCTTGTCTATTCGTTTTACTGTTTGGGGGGTTTTCAACCAATGACTGGTGCGTTCTTTTTCACTAATGCCTTTTTTCCGCATTATTTTAACACTATCGCCCACCTCTACCTCGGGGTATGTTCTATTGCGTTTTGCCTGTAAAGATATATTTAATTTAACTTCAAATTCATTTTTCGGGAGTTTTGCTTGGGACGGTGTGAGTTTAGTAGTAGAATGAATGTTTTTGTTATTATATGTAAGCAAAATCTCAAATATATAATCCGTCCATTGTATGCTAGTTTTTGCTTTCTTTTCATCGGCTTCTATCCTTGTATAAAGGGCTTCTTTGAAAGTTCGTATCCCGCGCTCACTGTATTGAGCATGTCCTCTGGTTCGGTGATGTTCTATATTATGCTCCTTCAAATATTCTTGTATAGATTTAGTGTTTAACGCGCCTTCATCATCGGTATATAAAAGCTTTGGAGTTCCACCCATTTTAGTAAATCCTTCAATTAAAGCACTCGCTACATCATCTTTGTTTTTACTTTTGATTGGTATAACAACCATAAGTTTTGAAAAAGCATCTATCATCAAAGAGCCCACTTTAAATTTCTGGTCTGGAATATCATTTATAAAGAATAAATCAAACTGGAATTCGTGAAAAGCTCTTGGAGGGATATATGAGTTTTGCCCCCTCATTTTCCGTTTCTCTTCAACATTTTTCTTAACGAACTCTTCAACATCTTCTTTTGTAATACTGGCGTCCTTTGCCTTACTGTCTTTTAATGTTTGGGCTCTACTCCCAAATCCCGAACGGTCATAATAAACATTGCTTATAATATCTTGTTTAGAAGTCATTATAATAAACAAGATATTACTTTTCTTCTTCTAATGGTTTTAAATATGTTTGGTGTTTCTGTGATTTTTCGTGTCGCATCCTATGCTCAAATGTGTAATATTTGCCACGTCCGCACAAATGCCTCTCTGATAGTATATGCTTCATTTTCTCGTAGCTTGTTCTCCCTTCCTCTTGTCTTTTTTCTGGGTGTAATTCTCTGTAAACCTTCTTTTGAAAGCAAATATAGTCATTCTCATCTTTATAATGTTCTTTTCTTGTTCTACCAGCAATAACTTTGTTGATACAATCCTCGCCCTTTAGGATATGTCCTTCTTCTCTCTCTAATTCTTCTCTGCTATTACAAGGAAAGCTCTTTATCAACAATATTTTAGAATTTTCAACACCAAATTCACCAAATAACCAATACGACCGTGTGTTGTCAGCACCACCTCGTAAATACTCTTGGTATTTGCTTCTGTGTCTTTCAAACCGCTTTTTCAAGCTTTCAGTTGTGCTTCCAATATACTTTTTCGTCATAGCAACATCTGTAATCATATAAATTTTTCCGTTTTCATACCTATTCATACCTCTATTTACCTATACCCACCATTTCCTTAAACCATTTTAAGGTGCGGACACGTTACAGTAAAAGCAATAAGCGCAACAATTGTCTAAATGATGTCCGTAATCATTACATAGTCGCTGTGCTGTAAAGTTGCTACATAACTTGTCTTGCTTGGTTTCAAAATTGAATGCTGTATTACATTTCTCGCACCTGCTCATAAACATTTTCAAACACCAATCGGGAGTGATGTATTTTGCTTCATCTATTTTTTTATGACTGCGTCTATCTTGTGCCTTATAACCTTCTATTTTGTGTTTAAAGTATCTAATTATCATATTCTTGTCCATTTGTTTATCAAATGTTGGATTGTAATAGAACTTCACTTGTTTAAAATCAACACATCTGGTTACAGCACAATACAGCCATTCTCTACTCGCCATTGGTAAGTTGTATTCGTGTATAGTTATGCTTCCCTTCACACTCGCCCCTTGACTTGAATGACAAGTGGCACAGTATGAGTAAATAAAATTAGCATCTACGATAGGTTCATATAGCATAAACTTATCCTTTTCATTCGTGATATTCTGTAGTGTTATTTGCCACCCTCGTTCATCTTGCTTCATACTCACGATTTTATACCTTATATTCACATCACTCTTGGCGTTTCAATCCACTTTCTGGCAATCAGTATTTCGCCCACTTCGTATTTGTCTTTCTTGTTTAACCTGCTTCTAATTTCATTTGCTACATTTCGGCATCTTATGTTAGTGTATGCGAGTTATGCTCCGATGCCATTATGTCGTCAGTTGTTTCAAAATACTTCGGCAGAATCTCCTCAACCGGCAACTCCTTCTCCCAAAAATCTTCATACATAGTTTTAATGATTTCTCTGTTTTTATCTCCTTCAATGCTGTCCTTCGCTCCCACTCTTTTACAAATTGTTAGAAATATGTTGTATTCAAACATTGTATTCAAGCAGTCGTGTATGTATGTTGCTGGATTTTGGCAGTTTGTCAGAATTTCTACTCCTTGTAATTGTTTAACATCGCCTGTCGCAACCACCATTTTATCGGGGTTGCTTTGCATAAACAACCTTACTTTATTTAAGACATATAGGTTTGACATATAAATTTCGTCAAAAACGATTATGTCATAACTGCTGTAATCAAAAGATGGCAGTTTGTCACGGCTTTGCTCTGAGGATGCTAAAGCATCGTCACCCGCATCTTGCTGAACCGCTTTGCTAAAAAACTTATTGTATGTCGTTGCTTCTACTTCTTTTTCCTGTAAAAGTCTGTTAGTTGGAACTACAAACAAAACATTATAACCAAGTTTTTGGAAGTATTCGCCTATATAACTCTTGCCGCTACCGGCGAAACGAGCACGAATTAAGCACTTGCCTCCACAACTTGCTTACATATCGTGTGAGTATCCCACTCGTCCTCTATGTTAAGTTTTTCATTTTGGAGCTGGGGCACAACAACCAACTGATTATATTTAAGTTTGTAATCGTCGGTCGGCAGCCTTACCCGTTTAGATTTTTCAAGTCTCCACCCTCCGATTTTGTGTTTCTCTTCTTCAACCTTCAACAGCTTAACAGTCCTTTTTTAATGGTTAGGGCATCCGTTTTGACACTATACACAGCAATACCATTCTCTTTTAGTGTCTCGTAGGCTTCATACACTCTATAATTATGGTCTTGTAAAAGCAACTCCTTAATGTATCTAAAGCCGTTGCTTAAACATCTCTCGTCGGATACATTCAGCACATAGTATTTTGTCTCGTCTATTTCAGCATCTCGTTGTATATGAACTACACCGTCTATTACAACAAACCGCTGATAAACTCCATCTTCAAAGCCTACCCACCCATCTTCAAAATTCCACACCTTAACTTTCTCTTTCTCTTCCGTTAAGGGCGTGTAGCTGTAATCCTTAATGATGCCATCTATCGCATACACCCTACCGCCATAAATTGCTTGATAATGGCACACCTCGGTTAATGTGTCAAACATCCTGCTCTTTTGCCCTTTGTTGTGCGACTTCTCTAACAATCCGAAGTTGATGTTGGCTATGGTCTTCTTTATCCTTCTATCTTCCTGTTCGTCGGTGCTTATCTGCTCTGCCCATAAATCGTCTATAATCTGCTTGTAATCCACCTTGTGGATATGCGACGGTTGCTTATAATATAAAAATATCACATTTAACACATTTTTAAATTAACTTCTTCAAAAAATTTCCATAAATCAGGTTATGCTTCTTGCTAAACATAATATTAGCATTGGCAACCCTCACCATATACAAAGTCAGGCTCGGCATATCATTAACATTTAGTTCGCTACTCCACTTCCTCCAGATGTCAAACTGCCTAAATATCGGTATTTTTTGATGCTTGTAAATGCTTCTGTAAATGCTTTTTTTGATATCTATTTCCACTGCATTCTTCTCTACTTCTGGGTTGTTAATCAACCCAAGCGGAACTATGGTTCTACACTCGTCCAGTATCTCTATATCAGTATCGGTATAGTAGGATTTATGGCTTTCGTTAAAGATGCTCTTGTTCATTTTAAGCATTGCCTCGCTGGTTTTCTTATACGCCTCCTCAGATGAAACCACAACATCCTCGTCAATCTTACTTTTGGATAAGTTCTGCGACTGTATGGTGTAATGTATAGTCTTTTTCAACTTCTTAATCCGCCACATAATCTTAAGTTCGGATATAGTCCCCGCCTGATACTTAACAAAAGGCTCATACCCGCTTTCCTTGAAGTCGTGTAGCAGTTTTGGCAAGTCGCTGCCCCTATGTATCAGTATATACTCGTCTTTATCTTTTAGATGTAGCAAATCCTCTATGGTGTCTATCATTTTACATTCTCGGGGTTCTTCCCTGTCATTGATATAGTATTTGTCGGACACTTTAACCGACAACTCTTTCTCGCCTCCCATCTCACTGCGCTTCAAACTCTTCAAGTCGTGGTTTAATACATAGATGTGCTTGTTCTTTACCAAACCGTTAAAGGTCTTAATCCTATGCGAGTATGTGGGTGGGTCATATTTAAAAATAAGTGAGCAGTTGAAATCAACAATCCGTGCTGGGATGCCGAATTCTTCAACAACACTCGCCATCCTCAGTATAGAAGTGCAGTTTTTAATAAACTCATCTTCCGATAAACCGATTAACTGTAAAACTTTGTCCCTCGTCAGGTTTTTAGCCAGTGAGCCTCTTTTCTGTTTCATCAGTGTATCGCTGTAATGCTCCACCAAGGCATTTATCCAACACTCGCCTTCCCTATAATTTTGTTTTGCGAGTGCTTGTTTAACTGTCGCATAACTGGTGTCTATCTCGGTCTCTACGAAGCGATGATAGATGCTTA